AAAAAAAAAAAAAAGAGAAACATTAATTCCAGTGAAATACTTGGTAGATTTTAGAAGTTCAAATGAATATGAATATTTAAAGAGGCAAAGTAAATAAAGATTTAATTTTTATTTGACTTCAGATCCTCCATTATGGTTTAAAAAAAACCTTCGCAGAATATGAATTAATCGTAACATTTATTTATAGTTGTCAAAACTGCAGGAGGAAAGGTCAGACTTACAAGAGCAGCTTCGTGACTATGAAGATCGAATCAGTGCTATGACTACTCACTTCAAAAATGTTAAGCAAGAGTTTTCGTTTACACAGGTACAGTAATTGCTGAAATTTATGTTGATCACATCACATGTAGTCATGGAACATTTCATCCCTGATTTTATTTTAGAGTTGTAAAAGGATACTTAAGAATAAATAAACTATTGTGAATATAATCTTGAACCTGAAAGTAGGTAGAAAAAAGGGCTTCATTGCTTTTTAGTTTAAGCGGTAATTAATTTATTGAAAAAGGCAATCATCACTGAAACAGGCTAATATACCATTAGGCAGGAGATTATATGTGAGAGATACAATAATGACAACGAGAAATGATGGCTTGAAGAAAAAACAGATCTAATGTAGTACTTATTTATTTAAATTTACATCACAACCCACTTGACCAATATGAGTAGAATCAAACTGTCCATATGCTCCAGTAGCACTTAGGGCACCAGAACATTTTAGCATAGTTTAAGAATTAAAAAAATTAACAACAGAAAAGCTAATTGTATTTAGGAGATTATTTGAGATAATTGGGGAAACTATAATGCATTTAAAAATATTAACAATAATAAAAGTAATTCTTAAGAGTGATTAAATAAGCATCTATTTTATGGACAATCTGTTCTTTTATGTGTAGAACTGTTGTTGGATAGGGAGGGGACACACCACAATCTCAAATTTCTAAATAGATTCTGCCATCCACTGAATCAAGACAAAACATATTAGATCTTCAATGGAAATGAACTTTAATACAATTAGTGTGCAACAAAAAAGGGGAAGAATATAGTTTACAAATCAACCACCTGAATTCACCCATCCCCTTATGGGTAAATGTCCAGCTAAACAGTGTTGGCCCAAAGCAAGGCCCAAATGCTCTCCACTTGTCTAAAGCACCTTCTGGTGGGGACCCACAGGAAAGGGGTAGTAGGGCCCAGCCAAATCTGGAAGGAAAAGAGAAAAATCAAAATCAAAAGAGAAGCTGCCACTGTTAACCTCCCACAGTCTCTCACCCACATCACCCTCAATCAGTCCAGGACAAAGAGCAAAGCACAATTTCTTCTCATCTCTTACCCCAGTCTCCTTTGCTTCTTCTTTCTCCCTGCTCAGCTCCACCCTTTATTGGGTAGGGTAGAGAACCTGGGACCTCCCCATTTTCTGGGACCTCCATATTAACAAAACCCATGCAGATAGAGAAACTGAGGCTCAGAGGAGATGGATAACTCATCCAATATCATACAGCTCACAGTCACTCTTCAAATAGTGTGATTCCTGAACTGAGAGAAGAAGCTGTCGAGGAGACTGAAGAAGGAAGAAAGCAGGATGGAGATCCAGAAGGAGACTTGAGGGCGGTAAAGGAGCAGAGAGACATATAAAGGAAGTATTTGCTTTTTGGTTCTTGACTGGTTGAAATAGATGAGAGGTTGAGAGGCCCATGAGGAGGTTAACAATAGCAGCTTTTTTCTTGATTTTGATTTTGCTCTTTTTCATCCAGACTTGTCTGGCTGTTTCTGATCCTTTCCTTTAGTCCCCAACAGAAAGTGCCTTGGATTTGGGGTGGGCTTTTGGGCCTCAGTGGCCCCACTTTGGGCCAACACTGATTGGCTGGGCATTTACCCATGAGGGGCTGAGTAACTTTGGGTGCTTGATGTGAAAACTATCTTCTCCCCCTTTTCTACATTGTACACTGGTTGTAAGTTCCTTTCCATTGAAGGTCTTATGTACTAGAGTATGAAGAGTTTACTAACTTCCATCTCAAACTATTTTTCAAAAAAAGACATCTATCTTTCAGAGAATATGTAACAAAATAATGTTTTTAATACCAACTTTAGATTAACAGATTTAATATTTCATGGTTTACACATCCTATGGAAAAGTTACAAATTCAATGAACTTTTTTAAAAAAATACTTAGGCTTCTTAGATCCTGATAACTAATAAACTGGAATAAAATCTTTTCCTCAAGTTGTGGCATCACTGAGTTGAATATTTGAGAGACACTCTGTAGGTGTATTTATTTCATTATAGTCAACCCTCTGTTCGATAGGATATTGGAGACAAAAGACAATCAACTTCCTATAGTACTAATACTAATAACTTTAAGACTAAAAATGTATTGATTTTGAAATGTTGCAAGATCAGTAGTCAAAAAAAGTACTTTATTAAGTAAAAGTTAACAAAGTCATGACTTTGTTACAACCATCAACATTTACATAATTATTCAAAAATTTTCTTTGTTAAAGTATGTTATCAATTCATATATAGCATTCTGTTACTCCCAACTATAGTTTAATCATTTTCATTCCTTAGTTTAGATAAGTAATGAGTTAGAGCATTTAAGTCTTACCATATAAATTTAGGTTTTAAATAATTTCATTAGACTAATATAATATCTGAATTCTGCTGATAATATTATTTACTCCAAGCATAGTCATGAACTAAATTTCTTGTAATAGTAACCAACACCAGCTACACTGAATCAGAGCTTGTTAGGTCATGGGATAGTGTAATGAATAGAATTTAAGCATTTTGTGGCAACTTTTTTTAGTCTAATGAATTATTGTAAATATTTTATAATATTAAAAATTTAAGACTTTTCTTTCTTATCTGTTATTCTGTAGTCTCTTTGTAAAGCCAGGGAGAATGAGATTGAAAGTGAAGAACATTTTAAGATTATTGCTGAAAGAGAACTGGGACGAGTGAAGGATGAAATCCAACGACTGGAAAATGAGATGGCTTCAATACAGGAAAAGAAAAGTGATAAGGAAGTATGTTGGCTTAAATAAGTTGAGGCTAACAGGCACTAGTGAGTCAATAAAATAATCAAGACAGAGGACTCCAAGGGACAGTGTGATTATAGCTTTGGGAAAACTTAAATTTTGAACCTCATAATAAAATTATTGTCAGCAAGAAAAAGAGTTTATTTTTACATAAACTTTTTCTATCTAAGTTGTAATCCCCATGGACTTCCCATCACCAAATCACCTGTGTGCCATCACCATAGTCCAGTGCACTTCGTTCCCCCCACTGTTCTTCATCCCATTCCCTACTCCACCCCCATAAAACGTCTCTGGTATATAGTTGTTTGTTACTATTATTTTCTTCCCTGGTCCTTTATACTCCTGCTATGAGTGAAACCATCTGGTATTTTTCCTTTTCTTTCTGGCTCATTTCACTAAGCATGATCTTTTCCAGCTCCATCCATGTTTCTGCAAAAGGCATGTGTTTGTTTATTTATTTTTTTGTTGCTGACTAACATTCCATTGTGTATAAGTACCACATCTTTTTAATACAGTCATCTACTTTGGGGCATTTGGGTTGTTTCCATGTCTTTCCAATTGTAAATAAAGCAGCAATAAACATGGGGTGCAGGTCAGAAAAACATTTTTAAGGATTTTTACAGACAATCCAGACAGGTGCCTGTTTAATATGTATATTGAGGAAAATAAGGAGGGTTGTTATAATTTATCCTATTTAGCACCTTATCTTTTAGGAGATGGGCATTTTAGCAGTGTTTTGAAAGTTTATAGTATCAGTAGTCAGGAAAACTACTTTATTAAGTAAAAGGTAACAGAAAGGCATGACTTTATGTAGTCTAAGAAATATTTACAACCACCGACATTTTTACATAATTAAGCATTTTCTTGGTTAATTAGAATACATCATCAATTCATATAGAGCACTCTGTTTCTCCCAACTATATTTTAATCATTTTCATTCTTACTTTTAGATAAGTAAGGAATTATACACCTTGAAATCAGTCTTTTTTTTTTTGATGTTATTGATTGGCTTGGAGACAACTGTTTGGTTGTTGATACAGCTTTTAACAAGGCTATGTTACAGATGTGCCTTAGTGTTCTGACCTGTACCCCTAGTTGAGGGTAAGGAGCGAGAGGAGCATCGTTTTAATTGTTGACTTTATTTTACAAGTATGTGTTGAAATATTATCTAAAATATTGTGCTATATTCATTCTCTTCCCTCACCACCCATGCATTGATTTTTTATTTTATTTTTTTTTCTGTGTAAGAAAACATTCGTTGGTTTCTTGACATTTACATGCATTGTTTTCTGGGAAATAAAAAGGCACTGTAGAGTTGTGATTTGAAAGAAACAATGATTAAATGTCATTTTATTTTTCTAGTATTAATTTACCAAATATTTACTGAGCTGTCTGTTATGAAACAGTAGGCAAATTTATTCTAAAGTGCTATATTTTAAAAGTTATATTAAAAAATCACCGTAGTTTTAAATTTCATTAAAAATTTTAATCTTTTTTATTGCTGCTTTGGTGATAGACATGGTGTGGTAATATTTTGAAGAGGTATAGACTTATCTTCCTAAAACGTACACAGTGTTCTAAGTTATCTCAATAAAATAAATAATTCAAATTTTTGAAAGTATCTTTCATGAATTTATAAGCTCTTTATTAACTTATAAGTATAACCTCAGACTACTGACTACTGTAACCTATTTTTCTCTTTTACTTTGTTTTTTGTTATCTGATTTGGGAACTCTTTCCAAATTCTCTTCCTTTTCTTTACACATTCATATATTATGAATATTGTATGGTATGTCCATAATATATATTATAATATGGAAATGCATATACATATGTATTTCTGTACATGGACATGTACATATATAATTATATTCATTTGTATTTGCATTGGTCTGTTTTATGGATTCAATTTTTTTAAATGAATACATTTACAGAATTTTTTTAAATCTCAGTGACTATTTCAATTAGAAGTGCTTCTAAAATTTCCAAATAAGTAGCTTGTTTAAAAAATAAGAAGTCTCTTAAATACAGCAGTCTGGTTGGAAATGATGCTAAAGGAGAGTTGTCTTGGCCTTGAGTTAGCAAATGAAGCACTTTAATCCTACTAAGATTGCACATATACTCAGGGTGATTTTGGTGGAGTAACTAATGAGATTGCCCTAGGGGAGGGCAGAGCTGATTGACACCATGGCAACTCAGTCCTAATTCTCCCAGGCCCCAGACTGCTTCCTTGGCTGATGAAATGGTGCCTAGGAGCGCTTGCACAGAGCACCCAGGGAGGACAGTAGGAGCAGTTCTTGCACCCCATTCAAGGCCAGACCTCCCACACTTCCCTCCCAGTGTTCTTACCAAGGACTGCACCCTGGGGACCTTGCATGGGTAGCCATTTAGTATGTCTCTAACTAAACTTTGCTTTTGTTTCTGCAAAAGATGTGGCTATGAATTCTTTGCACACCATAGTGAAGACATGAGGAACCCCCAAATTCAGGAACCCCAGACCCCAGCAACAATGATGATCTGTTATGTATGTCTGGTGATCACGGACAAGATTCCTTCTCATTTTTTAGTATCGTATATAGTATATTATGTTTTGTTTTAGTTTATAGAGTAAATGATGTTTTGTAATCTTCCTTTTACCCTCCTCTTCGGAAATTAGAACAGGATATTTAAAAGTACTCAAAAATTGGATGGTTTGAAGTGTCAAATGAACTGGGACCAGCAAGCTCTTGAGGCCTGGTTAGAAGAATCAGCTCATAAAGATAGTGATGCCCTCACTCTTCAGAAGTATGCACAACAAGATGATAATAAAATTAGGGTGAGAAGTTATAAATTGTAATGTTATTTTTTCTCTGAATTTGTATAGTATGTCTAGCTTTTTACTTAAATTGAATTTAGTAATTTTAAAGCAGTAGTTATTAGGCTTTTTTTGGAGGGAGGTCAGGGATTCCTTTTATAATCTATTAAAATCAAGTATTCTCTCTCTCGAAAGTGACAAGAAACCTGCACTGCTCTCAGGCTAACAAAATTTTATTGAAAATCTTAATGATCCTCTGAATCCTTTTGGTAATGTAGAAATCAGTGGGTTCCAGGTTAAGAATTCTGATTGAGATTGAGAAGAGTTGTTTTTTTTTTTTTAAAGTAAGCATCTATCTGTTTATTTAAACTGAAGTAACACCAAAAGGAAAGTTTGTACTAGACCTATATATATTAACTTTTTTGGTTTAAAAGGTAGTTTGAATATTTCATATAGTTTTTACTGAATTGAGACTATAGTATTAGCAATTATTTAATGTAACCATTGCTTATAAAATCTACTCATAATCAAATCTAGTAGTAATTAATACTATAAAACTCTTGTAGGTTAAATTCCAAATGCATCATTTTAAATAATTTTAAATAGTAAGTTATTGGTCTTTTTTTCTAACTTTGAAAATTACTGAAAAGCAATTGAGTTTTCATTGCCACTATATATTAGATTAGCCTTTTGGGGTTAAAGGATATAGTATGTACAGATTATTTTATAGCTGATTTATATATCAAGTAAACATATATCTGT